TCAGTCCATACTGAAGGCTGCAGTCCTTGACCCTCTGCAGCAAGTGCATGAGGTCCTCTCAGTTTCAGCAAGCAGAGTTGTGTCATCTGCATAACACAGATTGTTAATAGATCTTCCACCAATCCTGACGCCACACTTCACCTCATAGAGCCCAGCCTCTCGGATAATCTGCTCTGCATACAGGTTAAAAAGGTATGGAGATAGGACACATCCCTGGCATACACCCTTCCCAATTTTGAACCATGCAGTGTTACCCTGCTCTGTTCTGACGACTGCCCCTTGGTCCAAGTACAGGTTTTGCATTAGCACAATTACATGTTCTGGGATTCCCATTCTTCTCAGAGTCAGCCACAGTTTGTTATGTAGTTTGTTATAGTAAAAAGCTTTACTTTAGGATTAAAAGCATTTTATTAAATGGGTAAAGGAATGTGAAACATACAGTCACCATTCTAATGGCAGTCCTATTAAAAATATGCTGAAATATTGGTAACTCTTATTTCATAGCTGAATTCTATGAATGAAATATCATTTTTTTAAAAAAGTCAGTGATCGATGTGCAACTACCTGGAAAGTGAGGCACATCTAGACTTAGGAGCATGTAAATCAGAGCAAGTGAGGACGCAGAAGCCACAGCCTGAATGGTGCTTCTTAAAGTGCTGCTCATTTTAGGAAAGTAGGATACCCACTTCAAGGACACATTGGTTCAAATAAAAATCACTGGATTTTTTAGTGTTTACATAAGAGATCCCATTTTTAAAATGCCAGATCATCAGCTTCTTAATTAAGAAATAATTACTGATGAGCCTTAAATAGGAAGTCCTCTAGCTTTCAGGCAAAGAAACAGAAAAGAGCAAAGGAATGAGGTGTCAGCAATCGACTAACTTTGTTAGACTAATGTTAGAGCTTCCCCATGGGAGAAAGATGTGCAATCTTATCTTGTGCAATGTGCTCTCTGAAAATCCACGAAGAATCAGATATGAGTCGGCTCTGACTCAACAGTACATAACAATAATGTACATACGTACGTGTGTGTGTGTGTGTACTGTTGTTGTTAGGTGCTTGTGAGTAGAGTACAATTCTACTTACATACATAGACTACCAAGAAAACAAGTACGTCTGGAACAAAGTGCAACCAGAATGCTCCTTACCTGCAAAGGTGGGAAATCATCTCATATACTTTGGGTGTGTTGTTTAAGAGGGCCATTCTTTGGAAATAGATATCACATGCATGCATGCTTGTATTTACATACACATACAGTTGCTGCTGCTGCCTGGTGCCATCAAATCAACTATGACTCACAACAATCTTCTGAATAACACATCTGAGCCCTGCCCTATCCTGCATCGTCCTCACAACCTCTGTCAGGCTCAAGCCTGCTATACTCACTGTATCAGTTCATCTTGTTGAGGGTCTTCCTTTCTTTCACTGACCCCCTATTTCCAGAACCATGTCTCTCTCCAAGGATTGGTTCCTCCTAAATATACGCCCAAAGTAAGTGAGATGAAGTTTCACGATCCTTGCCTATAAAGGAGCATGCAGGTTGCACTTTCTCCAAAATAAGACTTTCTCCAAGAGCATTCTGGTTCCACTTCCTCAAAGAAAGATTTGTTCTTTTGGTATATTCACAGTATATTCAAAACTCTTTGCCAACACAATGCAAAGGCATTGGTTCTTCTTCAGTCCCCTTATCCATAAGTATATTCATATGAGTATATATATAAAAAAACTATCTATCCATCAGATTTCTCAGGGCTCAAAACTCAAGGATGGGGAGTCTGTAGGGAATTGCACTGTTAACCCAAAGGCAGGAATTCTTGGATGGAAGGAATCCATCAGCAGCTCTGCAGGAGAAAGAAGAGCAATCTCATCCTGTGATATTCACAGTCTCTGAAAACCCACTGGGAAGTCAGCTATGAGTCAAGTCCAACTCTACAGTAATGAGTGAACTGAGTTTTTATGGTTAGGTAGGACTATTCATTGCTGTCGATTTAGAACCTCCCCGTAACTGACCCTTTAGTGGATTTTCAAAGGCTGTAAATCACATAACAGGGGACTGTCTATCTTTCTCCCATGGAGTGGTTGGTGGATTCAAATCACTTGCCTTTGGGCCGCCAGTGTGGCTCCTTACCCACTAGGCCACCAGCACTCCCAAATAGTTAGACATACATATAAAAACTTACCCTTGTTGTTAGGTGCCATCAAGCCAAGTATGACTGACTCACAGTGACCCTATAATCCACAGATTGGAACCCTGTCCTATCTTGTGCCATCCTCATCATCTCTGACACACTGGAGCACATTACTGCGGTCACTGGGTCAATCCATCTCATTAAGGGTCTTTCTCTCTTTCACCTGTTCTCCACCCTTCCAAGCATGATGTTCCCTTCCAAGTAACAGGTTCTCTTAACAATATTCCTGAAGTACACAAGATGAAGCTTTGATCTTTACCTCCAAGGAGCGTTCTGGCTGCACTTTCTCCAAGACATCCCTGTCTGGTTTTTTTGGAGCTCCATGGGATATTCAATACTCTTATCCAACACCACAGTTCAAAGGCATCAATTCTCTTTTGTTATACTTATTCATTGTTCAACTCTCAGATGCACAGCAAGTGACTGGAAAGACCATGGCCTGAATCAAACACATCTTAGTCTTCAGACTGACATAAGTGCTTCTCAATAATTTGGAAAGACCCCTAACAACATTTTCCATATATAACAGGGAAATATAATAGATGTATATAATATATCTCCTAATCTCCTAACTGCTGGTACCAAGGGTGATGATTATTAATTCAAGTAAGATGAAATTGCTTACAACTTTAATCTTTCCTCCATCTATCATGATGTTGCCTATTGGTTCAGAGGTAAGAATTTCTGTTATCTTGATGTTGAGTTGTAATGCATACTGCAGGATTTTAGTCTTGTAGTCCTTTATTTTCTATAATAAGTACTTCAATCCATCTCACTTTCAGCAAGTAAGATCGTGTCATCTGTATAAAGCAGGGTTTTGATGAGTCTTCCCTTGATCCTGATAACACATTCTTCTTCAGAGAATCCAGCTTCTCGAATTATTTGCTCAGCATACAGATTGACCAGATAAGGGAAAAGAATACAACCCTGAGACATACTTTTCTTGATTTAAAATCATGCAATGTTCCCTTCCTCTTGTTCAGACAGCAGCTTCTTGGTCTAGGTATAGGTCTTGCATCAGCACAGTTAAGAACTCTGGGATTCCCATTCTTCTCAATGCTAGCCATAATTTGTAAATCAATAAAGCACAGATAAGACATTCTTCTGGTATTCTCTGCTTTCAGCCTATCTCAGGCTAATATTAACAATTATGTCCTTTGTGCCATGGCCTCTTCTTTTTTATGTTTTCTTTGTTTAATTTTATTTTATTAATTTTAATGACCATTTACAGAGATTATGGATTCCCATTCATTTATTGTTGCATTTTTCTCCCTGTCCACCCCTCCGCCCCTCATTAGCTCTTCTCTTTGAAAAGTTAAAAAAAAAATTCTTTCAATGGTATGCATTTCCCTCCACCCCGAGTACACTCCACTATGCAACCTTCATTCTGGACCCAATCATACATCACTTTTAAAATGTTCTCCCCTTCATCTGTTTCAATGCAGTATACATGATTTATCCAATTTTTCTCAGTCTCATCCCAACCCTGATGTCAGTTCTGGTCTACAACAGTGGCATTATGCAGTATTTGTCCTTTTGTGACTGAGATACTTCACTCAGCACAATGTCCTCCAGGGTCACCCATTTTGAATAATATTGCATGAGTTCCTTATTTTTCAATGCAGCATAGTATACCATTGTGTGAATATACCAGAGCTTCTCTATCCATTTGTTTGTTGATGGACACTTAGGTTGTTTCCAATTCTTTGCTATTGTGAACAAAGCTGCAATAAACATGGCTGTGCATATAACTGGCCATGGTCTCTTCTAAACCCAGCTTAAATTTCTTGCAGTTCTCTGTCCATATACTGCTCTAGCCATTTTTTGATGTGATATTAATGATACTGTTTGATAATTTCCACATTCTTTTTGATCACCTGTCTTGCGAATGGGAACAAATACACTCTCTTGCAGTTACTTGGCCAGGAAGCTGCCCTCCAAATTACCTGGTATAGACGGGTGAAAATGTCTAGAGCTGCATCAATTAGCTAAAACATGTCAATTGGTATCTCATCAACTCCTGGGGCTTTATATTTTGTGTAACTTACACCTAGATTGAGACTGTTAACAGCTTTCATTTGCTTGCCTCCACAATCAAAGCTCTTGGTACCAGCTGCCAGGAAATCAAAAGACAAATTGCATTGGGAAAGTCTGCCATCATGGACCTAGTCAGAGAGATGAAGAGCAATGATGTCAGTCTGGAGACTAAGGTGTACCTACCTGATCCAAGCCATAGTTTTCACAAGTACTTGCTAGTGTCATAAAGGTGGGCAATGACTACGGATGATAGAGAATAGATGCCTTTGAGCTTGGGTGATGGAGAAGAGTATTTAATATACCATGGACTGCTAGGAGAGCAAATAGTGAATGGACTGCTAAGAAAATGAACAGGTTTGTCCTAGAGAGGGTGAAACCAGGCTGCTTCTTGGAGACAAGGATTCTGAGGCTTCATGTGACATGCTTTGGGCATAAGCAAAGAGGAACCAGTCCTTGGAAAGGAACATCATGTTTAGAAGGGTAGAGGGACAGCACAAGAGAGGAAGACTCTTGATGAGATGGGTTGATTTAGTGACATGGCTAATGAAACAATAAGGTTGGCACAGGAAAGAGTAGGTTTTATGGCTGTTATACATAGGGTTGCTATGAATCCCAAGCGACTGGATGGCATATAACACCACCACCACCACCTAGATATCTGTGTAGATAGATATCTCTAGATAGTTATGTGCACACGTATATACATGTGTTCCATAAACATACATACACTTCTATACATATATGAATATAGTGAAAATTTAATTATACCATACCTTTTCTTCTAGTTTTTCTGACAGAAAAAGCATAGCCCCATCAAATACTTTTGCCTTGTTGAAAAGCGCATTATGACTATAGAGCAAAGCGATTCTCAATCTTTTGGACTCTAAGTCTGGAACATATGTCACATGATACTGCCATAACTGCCAGTTCTGAGGAAAATCTAAGTTAAAGAGATTCGTGACCAGTGTCAGAGGTATTCCACTAGAACCTGGAAAAGAGAAAAATTATTTTTCTAAAAATCCCATCTTTTTAATATTAATTACATCATTTAAAACATCTATTTTCATATGCACAGAAGTTTCTGGAAACTCAAGATTCTTGCCCAGTGATACAAAATAAGTTCTATAAATGTCAGCTTCATGGGGTCCTACAGAACTGAGTGTTGAAAGGGGTCTTGTATGAAGCAGGGTACCTAAGAAATAAGAGCAGACACAAGTGGGAAAAGAAATACAACCAATTTCAACAACCCCATCCCCTCCTCGAGCTTCCCTTCCAGTTTCTATTCTCTGTCCATAAAATCAGCTTGAGAAGTGTCTCCAGAAGATTGTAAAGAAATTAATCTGTTATTCCCATGTATACCATCCCAACAACCTTTTATTAACACAGATTCTCAAAACTTAGTCCTACTCTGGATCTAGACTTTCTGGAATAACTAAGGCTAAACAAGTCCTTGAAACTATTGCCCTAAAATGACCTTTAAGCCTTAAAATGAAAATATTCCCTTAAGTTTTCTTCAAGTCAAACCATTTAGCTTAATTAGTAAACAATGTCTGCCATGAGCACTGTGCCCTTTCATAGGAACTATCCAATTGACAACAGTAACTCAAAGAATTAGGTAAGAAACTTAGGGGGCAGTGAGTGGGGGAGAGCGGAGAGTGGGCGGCAGGCTCACAGCTGAAAGTACTCGATGCCAAGGAATTGTTCATACAGAAATTGTTTCTTTAGTGTATATTTTTCTGTGTCTATTCTCAACAAAAGTAAAATAAATTTGAATAGAACAGTAGTTAGTTATACTTTGGGTATATGTTACGAGTGATAAAGATATTTAGCAGTCACAGTGGTAATGGTTGTGTAACATGGAGAATGTAATAAATATATTGCTGAATTGTACACATGAAAAGAATAAAAATAAACATTTTCATATGTATTTCACACCACACAGAAATAGAGACAGAGAGATAACTTTTCTTCTGAAAAATCTCTAGGAAAATCAGTTTTTAAATCAATGACTAGACTGCTAGACATGCCTTCAAGGAGGCACTCAGAGACTGAAGAAGACTGGGCAGAGAAGAAGGAATTACCTCTTTCCTGTGTGGAAAATAGGCTCTCTGGGCTTCTACTTTCTGAAAGCACATGGAAACCACGTGTGTCTCCTGGAATCCTATGCCTCTGCATAATTTTTTATTCATATCTTAAAAGTCCACCGGATGAAATCAAAGGGGGTCACAAGAGAGTTGTTCAGTACATGGGATGGTGTACACGAGTTTCCAAGGGCAGAACTTAGCAGCGCACAAATAAGATACTTTCTGCCTATGATTTGAGGGAAATGATTGTGCTTTCCGCTTATAGAAAAGAATTTGAGCAAAGAGGAACCATTTTGTTTCTCTTACGGAGGAGAGAAAATAGAGGAGTCCCCAGGGCAGTGAGGGAACAAGTCTATCATGATCATGTCACATTTCTTCAGACTTGGCCTGCACCATACCTACATATGTGTAAAGAGTCACTGTGCACTTTTAATTAGATGACTTTTTATTTTTTTTAGATGAGCTTTCTTTTATGCTCCCAGATCCTGAGGAAGGGTTTTTCAACTGTTCATATTAACAAACAAAGAGAAGTCACCGTAGAACGTCAGGGGAAGACCTTCTCCACCAAAGTTTTCAAAACTCTGCCGGGACTTACCACAGCTCTGGAACTGAGGAGCTAGCAATTGTAACGAAAGATTCGACTACAGCACAATGGACCACAATGCAAGCACATTCCAGAAGAGTAAGCACTTCTGTTTTATACATGTGTGTATGTGTGTGCATGCTGAATTATAATATTTCTATATCCAGTCCATGGAGAAAAAGGGGATCCTGGGGAAGGTAAAGGGTCAGCAAAAGAGAGGAAGACTCTGAATGAGGTGGAATGGCACAGCACCTGCCACAATGGGTTTGAGCCAAAGATCGTGTTGGGGTGCGGGATGCGACAAGGCTCAGATCTGTTGTTCTCAGGGCCCCTATGAGTCACAGTCTACTCAAGACTGCCAAACAACAACATTGTTAATTGTGCTCCATAGTTTAAAAAAAATTGGAAAAACTCAAATCTGTGTCATTGAGTTGTAACTTTTGTGGAAGAATCACACTCTGTTTTGAGAATCAGTGAAAACAAAGACCCACTTCCCAGAACACACTTGAGTGTGTAACTCTTCATGTAATCTCAGGGGTGGGCCTGAACTCCTGGTAAACCATCTCTGAAATAGGCTTTGCTTTTCTTTCTATGGCTGAAGTTTAGAAAGATTATTTATGCCCCACATAAATAATGAGGAAGCAAGGACATAAAGGATCTTTCTAATCCTCATCTCAGGGATAAGGAGAAAGTCCTTTCTGGAAATGAGATGTGATTTGGGAGGAAACATTATTATTTGCATTAATAAAAGAGAAACTTAGAAAAAAAAACAACAAACAACAACAACCCACCCAAAGTGCCTAGACAGAGCCTTAAACATAATAGATGTTCAATAGTTGTTAAAAGGATACAGAAGCTTATTTATTTTACACCTAGAAACTAAAATTCCTTAAGCAAGATTTGGTAACATTCAAAGAATAAGTACTCTGAAGACGGGGTACCTGTTTTGCAATCTCTCACATGTGTCAATTTCTCTCTGGTACAAACACTCAAATCCAGGAGGTCTCTTTCAGTTCTCCCACCTTTCTCCACGTAGGTACATCCAACATCATCTGATGACACTTCCTCATTACCTTAAAAATAGGAAGGAACTCAGGAACTCGTATTTCATTCTGGTGGTGTAGTCCATAGAGAATTGTGCTTCTAACTCAAAGGTCATGTTTTTCTGGCAGTTTGAATCCACCAGCAGCTCCAAGGGAGAGAAATGGGCAATCTCATTTTGGACAATTTATAACCTTAGGAACTCAATACAAGGTCAGTTATAAGTCAGTTCCAATACAATGGCAGTGAGAGAGGCATCTCGACAATCACTTTGTCTAACAAGGGAGCTCTGCTGGCTTAGTGATAAGGAATTGCACTACCTACCAACCCAGAGACACATGGTTCACCAGTTGCTTTGCAGGAGAAAAATGGGCCATCTTCCTCCTGTGTGATTTTGTTGTTATATCCCATCAAGTCAGAACCAGACAAGAGCTGACCCTTCAGCAGGTTTTCAGAGGGAGTAAACTGCACGACAAGACACTGTCCATCTTTCTCCCATGGAGCAACTGCCGGGTTTAAACTGTGCCTATGGGTTGTGAGTACAGCTCCATACCAGGAAGCCACCAGAACTCCCTCCTGTGTGGTTTACAGCCTCTAAAAACCTGCTAGTGAGTCAGCTATGAGTCTGTTCCAACTCGACAGTACATAAGAACAAAAAATGAGGGGAAGAACTGTCTGAAAGGAATATATGATTAGGCATTAGATGTATGGCAACAAGCTGGAACAGAAGTATGTTGCAAAGTGGACTGGGGGCAGGGGAAGGAAGAACAATGAATGAATGAATGAATATGCAATCTTCCTGTAAATTTTCACTAAAATTAAAAAATAAAATTAAATTTAAAAAATATGTAATAAATAAATAAATAAATAAAATATCTAACAGAAGAAGTCTGGACCTTCTGTGTAAGGAGTAACACTGTCAACCCAAAGGCAGGATGTTTGAATCCACCAGCTATTCCATGGGAGAAAGATAGGCAATCTCCTCCCATGCAATTTATAGCCTCTAAAAACTCACTGGAGGGTTAGCTATGAGTCAGTTATGACTTGACAACAATCAGTCTTTGAGATTTTTTTAAATATATATATATCTAGCATCATGATAAATGGGAAAAAAAGACTGAAGCTGCCAAAGATTTTTTTTATTTGGATCTACAATTAACAATCCATGGATAAAGCAGTCAAGAACTCTTCAAAATACTAAACAAGGCTGTCCATTTAAAGACTAAGGTGCTCCTGGCCCAAGCTTTGATATTTTCAATTGTGTCGCATGCATGTGAAAGCTGGATAAAAGCTGGATACAAGAAGGATAAAAGAACTGGTGTCTTTAAATTGTGGTGCTGGTGAAGAATATTAAATAGACCATGGGCTGCCAAAAGAACAAACAAATCTGTTTTATAAGATGTACAGCTCCTTAGAAACAAGGATAGTATGACTCACATACTTGGGACACTTAGTTATTAGGAAGGGCAAGTCCTTGGAAAAAGACATCATACTTGGAAAAGCTGAGGATCAGTGGAACGAAAGGAGCCCTTCAATACAAAGGACTGGCTTAGTGATCACAATGGGCTGAGACACAGCAGATCGTGAGGAAGGAGCAGGACCAGGCAGGGGTTCTGTTCTGCTGTGCACAGGGTCACTGGGGGTCACAACATACCTGATGGCACCAAACAACAACATCTAAAATACATCCACATAGTAACAACTGCTGTGGCGGTAGCAAAACCTGTACACATTCCTGGATGCAAATTAGGACCATGCAGATGTCTTCAGCTTAAAAGTGAAGAATGGAGAAGGAAGCACGAGACTGTTAGAACTAAGAGATTGTGATTCAGTGCTAGTCCCTCCTGATATCTACCCAAAGTATGGCGGACGGAGTCTAACCATCCTTGCTTCTAGAAGAAATCCTCTGCACAAAAGAGATTTGTTTACTCTTTCGGCAGTCCACAGTATATTCAATATTCTTCACCAGCACCACAATTTAAAGGGCCAGTTCTTCTTTTATTCTCCTTATTCATTCGCCAACTTTCACATGCATATTAAGCAACTGAAAGTACCAACACTTGAGTCAGATGCACTTTAGCCGGTAAAGTGGCAGCCTCATACTTTAGTACTTTAAATAGTAATAAAAGACGTATTGCATTGGGAGGAGTCTGCTGTCAAGGACTTCTCCAAAGTATTAAGGAACAACAATATCAGTCTGAAGGCTAAAGTGCACCTGATCCAAGCCATGGTCTTTTAAATCACTTGCTATGTGTCTGAGAGCTGGACAATGATTAAAAATCACAGAAGAAGAGACAATGCCTTTGCGTTGTGGTATTAGAGAAGAGTACTGAATAACCCATGGACTTTAAAAGAAAAAACCAAACCCAATATATATGCCTTGGAGAAAGTGCAGCCAGAGTGCTCCTTAAAGGTAAGGACGGCAAAGCTCCATCTCACCAATATTGACCATGGTGTTAGGAAGGCTATTCCTTGGAAAGGTAGAGAGTCAGAAAAAAAGAAGAAGGCACTCAACAAGATGGATTGACACAGTGACTGGTTAGAATGGGTTCAAGTATGTCAGAGATTCTGAGGATGGTGCAGGATTGGACAGAGTTCCGATTTTTTGTTCACAGGGTTGCTTGCTATGTGTGGTACTCAATTCAATAGCATCTAACAACAATAGTGGATAAGCCTGCTGTGATTCACAACTTCGCTGAGGACACAGCTCTATCTCCCTATGTCTTGCTCTAGGTCTTTTGTGAAGGGCAGCTCTCCTTTCTCCTGAATAGTTACAGACTCTAACTGGCCACATCTCCTTCTGTACAGAGCAGGGGCTGCATTGCTCACTTTGGCCACTGAACGTTACCATATCTTTTTTTTCTCTATATTTTTAAAAACTATTATTCATTTTAATGAAAATTCACACACACTTTGGATTTCCATTCATTCACTGTTGCACTTTTCTTTCATTGTTATACAACAATCCCTCCCCCTAAGTCCACTCCACTATGCAGCCTTTGTTCTGGACTCCTGTCATGATAATAATACCTAATAATATATCCCTTTTAAACAGTTTTCTCCCTCATCTGTTTCAATGCAGTATACCATATCTTTTTAACACACATTATTTACTTCAACAATGAAAGCTTATCTTTCACCTCAGAGCATTTTACTTGGTGCTAGTTTCTTAAAAAAAAAAAATTAAAAAATGGAATTAACATATTTCCAAAAGAATACTTGGTTTAAATCAAGTACAATAAATGTTATTACTTTTTAAGATAAATCTTTGGCACTTTGAAAATAACTTCAAAAATATAAAAATACAAAAAGTAACAGTCTAATTCTGGTACTCTGACTTAGCCAAAATCTGCAACTACCGCAAATGGCACCATCACATACTCAAAACTGCTGTCCATGTCCTTCTCAGTGGAAGATGAGTCTCCAAGAAAAATCATATTTCTTCTTTTACTTTAACAATTCTATTTTAAATAAACCTACTTGGTTACCCATGTCCTTCTTTGCTCTTTGTTATTGTTATATGCCATCAAGTCGCCTGTAACCCATAGCAATCCTTTGCCCAACAGCTCGGAACTCTGCCCTATCCTGAGCCAGTCTCCCTGACTCTGACCCACACATACTCCCATTACTCTGGTCACTGTGTCAATCCATCTCAATCAGGGTCATTCTTTCCTGCACTTGACCATCCACTCTTCCAAGCATGATATCCTTTTCTAAGGACAGGTCTCTCCTGGAAACAAGCCCAAAACATGTGAGATAGAGCTTCAAAATCCTTGTCTTCAAAGAGAAACTTGGTTTTGCCCTCACTACATTTGTTTTCTGTTTGTTCTCTTGGTGGTCCAGGGTATATTAAATACTCTTCTCCAGCACCACATCTCAAAGTCATCAATTCTTCTTCTGTCATCCTTAGTTACTGTTCATCTCTCTGATGCATAACAAGTAATTGCAAAGACCATGGATTGAATCAGGTGTACCTTAGTTTCCAGACTGACAGCATTGCCCTTTAGCACTCTGGAGAGGGCCCTAACAGCAGATTTTCCCAGTGCAATTCACCTTTTCATTTCCTGACTGTTGGTGCCAAGTGTGTTGATTGTGGAGCTGAGCTAGCCGAAATTGTTAACAACCTCAATCTCCTCTCCATCTATAATGGTGCTGCCAGTTGGCCTAGTGGTGAGAATCTTTGTTTTCTTGATGTTGAGTCTTTGCTGTTAGTTTCAAGTAATGTTTCTGAAAAGTAAATCTAGCCTCAAAGGGTGCATGATTTTCACCATGATAAATTTAGAAGGAAATTTCTAAAGAAAGATTAGAAAAAATGTTTGATGGTAGCTGTAGTCCTAAACCCCAATCCCTGCCTCTATTTTCTGAGAAGACTATATTCACTTGTGTGAGGACAACAGAAAATCCCCATGATGGAGAAACCGGTGTGAGATGAGTGGAAGGACAAAAATCCTGAGAATCAGAGGGCACCTAAGGGCTGGGGACTTACAGATTTGTTATCAATCAGTCACATAACTTCATGACTAGAACAAGAGAACTGGTTAACAGATTTCATTAAACACATCGACTTGTTTTGTGTGATAGTATCTACTTGGAGTAGCATGTTGACAAATATCCAAAGGTCAGATCGGGTTTTGAAGAGAAAAGGGATACTGTTAAGTGACTGAAATTCCTGGGTGATGTAAATGGTTTATGTGCGTGACTGCTAAAGAAGAAAGTGGGAAGCTTCAATCCATCCAGAGGTACATTTTTAAAAAGTGCTTTTTTCTGATCTGTTGTTATTGCTATGTGCTGTTGAGTCAAGTACGACTCATAACGACCCCATGACTAGCTGGTCTGTCCTGTCCCATGCCATCCTCACCATCTCTGACATATTGAGCCCACTGCTGCAGTCATGGTGTCAATTCATGTCATTGAAGGGCTTCCTCTCTTGTACTGATCTTCCATCTTTACTAGCATGATGTCTCAATCCAAGGAATAGCCTCTTTTAGCAACATGCCCGACATATATAATACTCC